ACTTACCTCCGTGCCATAGATGTCCCATTGACCGACGCTGCTGAGCACGCTCCTTGGGTGTGTCCATAGGAGCAGCTCCCCTGCCGTGTGTACCGCTCATCTCCACAGCAGAGGATCACCAGAAAGGCCCTCCGAAATGCCCGGTTCAAGAAGGCATACAAAAAGGGGTTCAACCCTGAGTTAATGTAGCCAAGCCATAGCCAGGCGGTCCACAGCTGCCAGGGCACTGTATAGTGAATAAAGGGGTCCACCACGTTGGTGATGAAGAATGGTGCCCAACATAAGCAGAAACAACCCATTATAACTGCCAGTGTCTTTGCTGCTTTTGTCTCAACACGCATGTGGCTGTTTGATACAGGAGACTGCTCTGAGGAGGAGGAACCTGTTGTTGTTCTGAGGCAGTAATACTCCACTGGATCTGTGGAAGTGGATGGGCTCACAGTGATGACCGGAATTGTCCCGGTAACGGGAGCTGAGCCAGCACGTTGTAGCATCTCAATTTGCCTCACATGGGTCATGGCAGTAACATAGATACGCTGATAGGCCAGGACCATGAGGGCCAATGGGATATAGAAAGCCACCGCAGAACAGATGAGTGCGTAAGGCCAGTTGACCAGAAATACACAGCTTGTGTCATTGGGGCCGCCTCTCAAAACTCGCCTCTCCTCAATCTGGAAAGGAGATGAAACACAGACTCAAAAATAGATAGCATGGCATACTGTGTGTGCAGCTCGAGCCAGGAAGGGATTAGCTTAGCTTAGCATAAAGACAGGAGGCAAAGGGGTATGAGCCATGGGGACAGAACCATGGTAATGACAGCTACCATTGGGGTACTATTGGGGTTGGGAACTGACTGACCTAACCTTGGAACTCTCCTGGGTAATAAATTGGTTGGAAAAGTAAAATCTTAACTTATTTCAATTTAAAAGGTATCTTTCATATACTACACGTACTGCATTAAGTACTTCTGGTTTCAAAGCTAAGAGCAGAGACTCCATCATTTTCACCATGCCACCAGGAATGTAGCACATCCTGCTTTTCTTTTCTGAAGACGGAAGAGACTCAGCTCAAACTAAAGAGACATTCTGTATTATCTTGTTTAACTTTTGTCACAGTTACTAAATCAGTTCTTGTGGCTTTGTGATGGCTTTAGTGAGGAACAGTTTCAGTTTCAAACAATCCCTTTTTGGGACAGAAGAGTGTGAGGGAAATTTTCAGAATGTTTTTCCTGATTCGAGAGAGAGAGACAAGTGACCAAAGAAGAGGCAAAAATAGACACAACATTAAAAAAAAGAAACACTAAAACTTGGCCTAAATGTGTAGACATGAGTCATTTCAAGTCCACTGCAATGCTGTGACATATAACTTCAAGACATCCAGCCAGCTATTAAAAACAAAAGACAGCTGTTTTCATGCTGCCTGAGAGAAAGACTGAGATAAGACTTGTGTATTTCATTAAGCCTGACTGAATAGATTCATCTATTCCCGTCTGCCTCTGGGAATCCTAGTGTTCATTTCATGGCAGCTCTGAAATAACCTCATGCCAAAATATATCCAAACCTGAAGTGTTGTTTTTGCCTGCAGTAGGAGAGCCTCCACAGGGACTGGAATTGTTGTGTGATCATTGCATTACTGTGTCATTGTTCAAGGGATTGGGAAACATTATTAGAAACTGAATATTAGGTAAGAAAGGTTTATGTTGTGTTTGTCTTCACAGAAAGAACATTCCTTTTAGGCATTTTTGCGGGAGGTTTATGAAGTCTTCTGTGGAAAGTACAGAATATTTGTAATGCATTTTTAGTAATAATAACATAACCGGCAGTTGTTTTTGAGCTCATTTTGTGTATGTGTGTGTGTGCTGAGGACTCACAATGTCCTCGATGCCAATAGCATTCCAGCTTTGCATGATGGGTAAGAAGGAGATGAATGTTGGGATGAGCCAGCAGCCACTGAGCATCACAGCCACTCTCACCGGGGTCATCTTGTGTCTGTAGACTAGTGGCTGGCAGCAGATAGCATAATACCTGTAATAAATACAGACACATACACTGCAGCGCACACTTTTTAAGCATTAGTATGTAAACAGCAAACACATAACCAAATATAAACACCGTGATATCTCAGAAGACCCATCCCACACAAAGTTTCAATGTTTTTTAAATTCAACTGGGAGATTCCGCAGAACCTGTTATTTATTGAGCATTATTATTTCATACTTAGTGCATCATGGGTGCGGGGCAGGTACGGGTTTGCAAAATTTGACCTGTAAAGGACTCTGGTGTGTCTTCACTGACACAGTTTTTTTGGATTCAAGCTTACAAAGAAAGGTCATTTATCTGAGCCTTTAAATCAAGTTCACAATCCCCTCATTATCTATTTCTCACACACATGCAAACCTGTCCAGTGCAATGCAGCAGAGGTGGAGGATGGATGCTGTAGTTAACAGGACGTCCAGAGACGTCCGGACCAGGCAGAAAATCTTTCCGTATTGCCACCGGCCGGTGGTTAACTCAATTGCAGCGAGTGGCATCACAACCAGTGCAACAAGCAGGTCAGCAAATGCCAGGGACACAATGAAGTAGTTGGTCTTTGTCTTCCTGAGAGAAAAAAAAAAGGAAAAGACAGGAGAGGAGACAACAAGAAACAAGTTAGAATGAAGAATTTGTTCCTAAAAATCCTTGATAAAATAATCAGTAAAGGCTCACAGTATATTTTATGTTGTGCCATCATGTCTCATGAAATAATAAGGTTGCATCTCTGTGACTTGCAGAAATATGAAATCACTGTTGAAATGTAGCCAGCATTGCATTTTTATATAAATAAAACTGACTTATGTTTAAGTCAAACTATGTTAAAAAATAAAGTAAAATGATTAGTGATGTTACAATACATTGGCAAATGATCTCATTCTATTCAACAGCTCATTGGTAGGACTGAAGGGATTCGAGTCCTTCTAGAAAACAGCTTTTTTCATCTTTGTGCCAAATTTTACTGCCTGCGTTGTTTTAAAAGGACTTCATTAAGAGAGAGAGAAAGAAAGAGAGAGAGAGCAGTGGTAGGACTGAAGGGATTCGAGTCCTTCTAGAAAACAGCTTTTTTCATCTTTGTGCCAAATTTTACTGCCTGCGTTGTTTTAAAAGGACTTCATTAAGAGAGAGAGAAAGAAAGAGAGAGAGAGCAGTGGTGGTTGAGTGAGACAGAGAGTGAATGAAGAGAGCTGCTTGCAAAACAAAACAGTGAATCAGGGAAATAAAATGTTATTGTTGTTTCAAGGTGGTTATGTTTTAAAGCACTAATAAACATGGCCACACCTCTGCACATTCCTACAGGAAAGATTTTATGTGTATTCAGTTGAAGTGCAGGTTCCATCCATGAGTCTGCTCTGCTGCTCTACACTGTATTTGTGTGTAGCTAAGCCCTGCTCACAGTTAAATTGACAGACACAGACCTGGAACTGGGTACACTTCAGCACTTCACAGAGGTGTTTATAAAAAAAAGTTTAAAAAAATCATGAAATGGCCCCAGGTTCCATCTACAGACACATAAATCACCTCTAGGAAAAATGTATTTAATTTGTACTTTTGGCTCATATAGCATCCACTACCATGGAGGGGGCTGGATTTACGACCTATACTGCAACGTGCCACCAGGGGGCGATAAACTCTCAGTTGCTTCACTTCTGGGAGCTGCTATGTTGTACATCTTTTAGACAGTCAGTGATTTAAACATAGAACAAAAAGCTGAAACCATATTATGCCCAAATATATTTGCATTTGTCTAAGAAAATGCTGGCTTTATTTAACTTAAGAACAGTTGTCACCCTTTGTCAGAGTTACAGGGGGAACCTGGGTGTGTTTGGTACAGATACTGACAGCTGCAGAGAGACCCTTCTTATTCTATTTAGGCTAGACTGGACTACTGTTATTGTTAAAAAGACCCACCGTAAATGTCTGTCCTTGCAGAGAGCGACCATGACCAGTAGGTTTCCAAATACTGTCATGATAATAATGATGGAGAGAAAGATGGTAAGAAGTGTAGCCTCCAGTGAGCTTAGGACCTCCTCCTCCTCCTGCGGGTGCTGCTGTTGTTCTGTGTTTATCACGTCATCCAACAATCTGCAAAAAAAGACACACCATTGTCAGCATTTTGAATCTCATATATTCACTCACATGTTCATAATTTTCTCTGACATAAATGACAAAATTGATTATTTGCATGTGACCTCCAAAATGAGCACATGAACATTTACTGATTGGTTTTTTTTTATCGATGGACCTTGTGGCAGTGGAAGTTGGACACTGCTTGGATTTTACAATTGATTCAAAGTGAAATTTTATTTTGTTTAATATTTTATTTAATATTGTGATTACTCGTGTTATTTTAAAAACATTATTGGTGGTTATTGCGGTTTCATTCAGGATTAGCTGTGTTTTTATTGTACACGGTTTCGATGTATGACTTACTGTTGAGGTGATGCTGTGGCCATCACTAGTCATCTGCACTGAGGTCAGCAGAGGAGCGTCCTCATCATCCCATACTGTAACCCTGTCAACACACACATACTCATGATGTAATTGATCTGGCTCTTGCAAAGTGCCTTCATTTTTTTGAAAATAGTAGCCAGCCTACTCATATAAACTGCCTGGATTTATTGCTGTTTGTCTATCTTGCAGCTGCACCAAGGTGCCAAAAATGTAATATTAGTGCCTCAAGTTATGTAAGGAGATCACAGCTTGAAATTGTGCAATGTTTATAGGGTAAATAGGCTGCAATTGACAGCAGCTGTGTTTGCCATATTCCATCAGTATGTTAGCTTATCTTTGTAATGCAATGATAATACCCTGCTTTTTCCCACAAGGGAAATTCAGCTTTTATATTTCCTTTTCAAAGGCAGCCAAAGGTCAGCATCAAAATCTGAACAACATTTCTGGGGCAACAGATTCTGATCCTGCTACACTTTGTCTGCCACTGCAGCCCATGTAACTTGGTAAATAAAGTAAACATATAGATTTTACCAACAAAAGCCTGTGATAACAAGAGGAGAATTAGTTTACAAACTGTTGTTAACTGTCCATGTCTACCCCCTTTTACCTTGGTATCAGTTCAGTAATTCAGATTCCAATTAGTATATAGCATCTTATGTTTTTATTGACTAATCATAACTACCTAAATAAGCCCAAGAGCATTAGTGGATGCTCCTGAAAACAACCTCTGAAGTGCAAA